AGCTATTCTTAAGCTGCAAGGCAGCGCCATCTCTTCGCATTATAGGTAAACCCACAATGTCAAATGAATACTTTTACAAGTATTAAACATTTGAAAGAAGAAATAGCAATTATAGTTATAATTTTTATTATTTTGAAAGCATGTAACTGCTTGATGTTTAAATCTAAAGAAAATATAACTAGAAAAAATTCCACGCGGACCAGGCAGCAGACGGGACTCGAACCCGCACCCTTCGCAATCCGGGCGAATGCACTGACCAATTATGCTACCGCGGCCCTCACGGACCGCGTCGAAATTCTTTCTAGCTATTCTTAAGCTGCAAGGCAGCGCCATCTCTTCGCATTATAGGTAAACCCACAATGTCAAATGAATACTTTTACAAGTATTAAACATTTGAAAGAAGAAATAGCAATTATAGTTATAATTTTTATTATTTTGAAAGCATGTAACTGCTTGATGTTTAAATCTAAAGAAAATATAACTAGAAAAAATTCCACGCGGACCAGGCAGCAGACGGGACTCGAACCCGCACCCTTCGCAATCCGGGCGAATGCACTGACCAATTATGCTACCGCGGCCCTCACGGACCGCGTCGAAATTCTTTCTAGCTATTCTTAAGCTGCAAGGCAGCGCCATCTCTTCGCATTATAGGTAAACCCACAATGTCAAATGAATACTTTTACAAGTATTAAACATTTGAAAGAAGAAATAGCAATTATAGTTATAATTTTTATTATTTTGAAAGCATGTAACTGCTTGATGTTTAAATCTAAAGAAAATATAACTAGAAAAAATTCCACGCGGACCAGGCAGCAGACGGGACTCGAACCCGCACCCTTCGCAATCCGGGCGAATGCACTGACCAATTATGCTACCGCGGCCCTCACGGACCGCGTCGAAATTCTTTCTAGCTATTCTTAAGCTGCAAGGCAGCGCCATCTCTTCGCATTATAGGTAAACCCACAATGTCAAATGAATACTTTTACAAGTATTAAACATTTGAAAGAAGAAATAGCAATTATAGTTATAATTTTTATTATTTTGAAAGCATGTAACTGCTTGATGTTTAAATCTAAAGAAAATTATTACTATAATTGCTATTTCTTCTTTCAAATGTTTAATACTTGTAAAAGTATTCATTTGACATTGTGGGTTTACCTATAATGCGAAGAGATGGCGCTGCCTTGCAGCTTAAGAATAGCTAGAAAGAATTTCGACGCGGTCCGTGAGGGCCGCGGTAGCATAATTGGTCAGTGCATTCGCCCGGATTGCGAAGGGTGCGGGTTCGAGTCCCGTCTGCTGCCTGGTCCGCGTGGAATTTTTTCTAGTTATATTTTCTTTAGATTTAAACATCAAGCAGTTACATGCTTTCAAAATAATAAAAATTATAACTATAATTGCTATTTCTTCTTTCAAATGTTTAATACTTGTAAAAGTATTCATTTGACATTGTGGGTTTACCTATAATGCGAAGAGATGGCGCTGCCTTGCAGCTTAAGAATAGCTAGAAAGAATTTCGACGCGGTCCGTGAGGGCCGCGGTAGCATAATTGGTCAGTGCATTCGCCCGGATTGCGAAGAGTGCGGGTTCGAGTCCCGTCTGCTGCCTGGTCCGCGTGGAATTTTTTCTAGTTATATTTTCTTTAGATTTAAACATCAAGCAGTTACATGCTTTCAAAATAATAAAAATTATAACTAAATTTATAAAATCTCTAGAAGAAATCAAAGAATTAAAAGATATGTTGGGGGTATGTAATGTGGATGTAGAGAGCAAAATAGATGAACTTACAAAAAGAAATATGGAATGGAATTAGATGAAATAAAAAGTGAAGTAGGTACATACATTAGATAACTTTCTGTACTATTTATAATGTGATGTAGATGCGCGGGCGGTCATTGCTTGACAGAACTCATAGGAGTCACCGCTCGTCACGTTCTACCGCCTCGCAGCCGCGAGAACCTATTTGATTTAACGCATAAAATAATACCACTCACGCGCCGCCTCTGGTACCGCCTCGCTGTACGCAAAATTCGGCCTCAGTGCTGTCGAAAAAGGACTTAATGTATTGAATACCGTTCTTTGTTTCACAACACTTGGGGAAAGGATCCATATTATCCCCTTTGAATATGATACACTTACTATAAAATTTACAAACTCTTAACTCGACCGAAACGAGCGGGTCATTCTAACCTAGCATTACAAAATAAAGAAAGTAACGAAAAAAGTGTAAATTTTATACCATAGTATCTATTTTTATCGGTTCTATAAAAATAATATAGAAGCATTATTCGAAAAGCAACCCTTTATTAAAAAAAGGCGAAAACTAAAATTCGCTTACACAGAAATGGTCAATACTTCCACAGAAATGGAATGGTCACAGAGTGACCAGATTAATAAAAAAACCTAACGAGAATCAGTATATTCTCGTTTTGGTGACGTAAATGCAAAAACAACATATTTCTAAATCAAAATAAACAATATGTTTAGGGAAAGACTTTATAACTTTTAACATAAAAAATCTAATAAAATCACAGAAATGATAGACCTTTATGTGTATATTTTGATGTATACCATTTTCTCTGAACATGCAATTTAATGAATCACTTATTTTAATTTATTATTGCAGTTATTACAGATTAATGGTACTTCTAATACTAATTATTTAAATGGCATCAAATTATTAATAAAACTTTTTTTTAATCAAGTGTTACTAAAAACCTGTGTTTTATTTTAGGTTTAAACAGATTGTATGATGTTTGGGTGTGTGCGTGAATATCTGGTGATGATGATGTAGATGATCTGTGATTTATCTATAGAATGACTGACGTTCTGATTGGTGGAAAGTCATCGTCACCATCATCGTTTCTGTTACCTGTAGTTCGTGTAACCTGGTACATAATACAATTTGCTGTGTAGGGTATGGGAGTTACATTGCAATCATCAGTACTATAATTAAAAGATGGTGAGGATAGCTCCCGATTTATTTTTCCACTTTAATGACTCTAGGGCCTTAATGTATACAGATTGTTTCGGGAGAATATAACCAACAGCTAAGCCTATTAGCATTTAAAAATGACGAATTGTTGTAATTCCAGACAATTTGTTAAATATTTTATGTATTTTTGGATGCTTACGAACCACTTAGCTTCAGTAGATTTTCTATATTGACAATTTGTGAATCATCTATTAGCAAAATATTAATATCTTTCCATAATTCTTTAAACAATTTAGTATGGACTCAAAATCCGGAACGTTGTTTAAGAGGTACAGCTTAATCTACTGATTTTTTAACACACCCGTCTACTCCATCAGGTGCAGCTATCCTATCGCCAGCTTCACTATAATGCCGAATTACATTGTAAAAATTCATTTAAGAGTAATAAAGTGTGTAATGAGAAAGAAAAGATTTATTTCGATAGCGTGTCACCGGTCCATCGCAAGTTAAATGCATGCAAACTCTCCTTGGTTTTTTTATTCCTATGATGAGCTACAATAAAAATAAAATCAACATCATATCATAGTTAAGTAAATGTTGAATACCTAAAATATAGAATACCTAAAATTTACCTTTATGTTTCAAACAGCACCGACTTTATGTTTCATACACAGAAATGGCGGTACACAGAAATGATGATTGCAAGAGTTCTACGTGATAGCGGATAAAAGTTAGGGATATGTTTTCACAACATTGGATATTTATTTTTGAAGAACAAAAGAGATTACTCATAAACTGGCATAATAATTTCATGTTACTTACAAACCTAGTCACAATCCAACCAGAAATGACACTTGAACTTTTTGTAAAACGGAATTCCACACATTCATTTGTTTTTTTTTGACTCAGTGAGAGAACCACAACATAAACAAAAGTCAGTCGATATCGGAAAGATTCAGTGTTGCTGTATTAGAAAAATCATTAACTCACAAGAAAGAATTACTATGTTTTTTTGCAAAAACGTACATTTACACAGAAGTGCTGACTAAACTCGAAACAAATATTTACTTATGTTTAACTGGAAGATTTATTATTATGATATCTTTTTAAACACGGTATTAGTACATTACGATACGCGTGACCTAAGTTGCCTCGCTCCGCTCGGGCGCTAACTTCACGCCGTGCAGTAATAGACAACTTAGGCCACAAGTATCGTATACTATTTTATAGCAAGTGTGACATAAACCCGCCTCGGACGCGGGCAAGAGGGGGGGTTCGAGGGATGCGATTAGTGTTTTGAAAGTATATTTCAAATCACAAAGAATTGCAATACAGACTGCAAGTAAAACTCTGAAAAGAAAGAATTCCGGTTCAGATTACCATTTTGAAAGTATATTTCAAAAGGAAAAAATCAAATATCATTACAACAAAATAGAATTTCAATGTATCCATGAACGTTTATTCCTTGATTGGCATAACAATATATTAAACAACGGGAATGAGCTTTATTTTTTGTACTCGTATAATTCAAACAAGAATTCCTAACCTATCGCTAATTTGTCATTTGTTTGCTGTGAGTTTTTAAGCTCCAAATGACATTTAAATGTGTTTCCTTTTATTTTTTCTACATGAGTGAAGTTGGTCAATTCATTTACACACCGTGCAGAAATAGGCAACTTATGTCACTGAAAAGCGTGCGTAAAGTGCGGGTTTAGGTCACACTGTGCTATAAAAATTATTACATGTTTCTCCGACAACAAATCAAATAGCATTTGTTTTAAAAACGGATTATTTATATTTTATTCAATAAGAGCAAACCATAACATGTATTAAGTAACATACACAGAACATGACGAATCAGCAACTTCTTTATGTTTTTTTCCTATAGATGTTTTTTTTTTGAAATATATGATTTTGCAGACAAGTACTTTAATACGTAATCTTTATAAATAAATTTATTTAAATTTTATATGTAATTCTAACAAGTGACACTTTTTTACTCATAGATTAGAATGACCCGAACCGTTAGTTGCAAGAGAAAGTTCTCAGTGCTGCCTTCATTGTCGTCGAAACTGGGTTCAACATTCTTAACGCCGTTTTCAGTCTCACAACACTTGAGGAAACATATGGTCCATCTTGAATATGATACACTTGCTATAAAATTTACAAATTCTTAATTCGACCGAAACGAGCCGTCTAATTGCAAGAGAAAGCTCTCAGTGCTGCCCTCTGTGCCGTCGAAACTAGACTCCACGTGCTTAACGCCGTTCTCAGTCTCACAACATTTGGGAAAGGGCGCCATATGGTCCGTTTTGAATATGATACACTTGCTGTAGTTCTCCTTGGACCGCTCTCGGTTATTGTTGGCGGGGAAGCGGCCCACACTCCTCCCTCAGAGCTTCGAGGAGCCGTTGTTTAGTAGTCGGATGCTGCTATCTCTGCCCACACTTGTCCTGTGAAAGAAATCATTCATCAGCAAAGGAGATGACTCATACACAAAAAAAACGAATCACCTAAGGATACGCAAGGAAGCATAAAAACAACAGAGTCGACTGATTATTTAGAAACCCAACCATGTTCCTATTGTATACTTATTTCATTCATTCATTCATTAATTGTATACCTTATAAAGTTGACTACTGAAGGACGCTCAAAGCCATAACTAATAAAACATACTATATTTTGTTATAGTTTTTTTTTATTTCCGTATTATTTTTAAGCAATAGACTGCCAGGTATCCAGCCTGTTACTGAGCCAGGGTCTCATTTTTTATATAAAAACAATCTTGAAGATGTCTAATGTGGGTCTGTGCTATGTTAATCCATTGAATGAGGCTTATGAAAGTTATAAAATCGGGCTCCGTTACATAAGCCGCTTTGTGATAATCCATTGTCATATTATGTGACAACAGTATCATTCAGATCATACATTAATATGTGAATACGCAGCCTAGAAAGGCGTACTATGGTTGTTCGCGTACGTTTGTGAAAATGTGACGAAAATTTAACATTCTTTAAAGGGTCCAATCCAAATGTGAACTAAGAAAAAGAGATGAGAATATTTATATGGCTATGGAATGTAACGAAATTTTATGAAATAAAAGGAATAAGCTTGTAAGATATACAGAGTTAGGGAATTAAGAAAAAATTCATGCTATGCTAGACAAATAATTAATTAAATAATAACACTATTTTTTTAACGAACATTAAAAAAAGAAAAATCTTAAATTAAAAAAAAATGTTTCTAAGTAAACATTATCGCTAGCTGGTGGCTACACGAGAGTGCTAAAAATGAATTCAAATTATTTTTTGTAAAACCGGAAAAAGTCCTTTTCAAATGATCTTCGTTTATTTGCATTTATCAATCAAAATTTTAATTTGCTTTTAAAAAATTTGCGCAAACATGTACAAATTAACTATGTTTATATTTATATAATCAATATTTTTCCAGGAACGACTTATAGTGGGAGGTATAAAATATTACGTGTTTTTTACACACTTTTCCAAAAACCTTCAAGGCGAAGTTTTGGAAGAAACAACCAGAAAAACTAGAAATTAAAATCGACCTTTTTAAGACTTTTAAACAACTTAACACTTCTTATTTTTAGTCGTTGGTAATAAAAATGTTTTTGCTGACGAAAGGGAATTGAAAACTCTCAATAACAAAATTTATAGAACACGTGTATCTACTGAAATGCTTGTTCTGGAATTAAAATCACGTTCCGTTTCAAATATACTTTCTTTTGGAGTAGTGATTTGTGAAAAAAAAAACACACACACACATGATATTCGTGTTAACTCCAAGTGGCTCTTCCATGAATAGATATTTAGTATTCAAAATACCATTTAGATTGATATTATGCACCAAAATTTTCTTTTTTATCTAAGGTATAATAATAGTTCAAGGAGCTCGATGGCTCAGGTGGATAGCGCATTTGGTCAGCGAACGTGGAAGTTAAGCAACTTTCAAAATGGTTGGTCATTGGATGGGTGACCAAAATCTTATTATCTCGAGCTGCTCCGTACTTCGGAAGGCGCGTTAAAGGTTTAAGCCTACTTAAACGTCCCACCCGAAAAATAGAATATAATTCGAAAATGGGCGTTAAGTATTGCTCCTTAGATATACTTTTGCATTGGCCACATAAATTTGCAGACAGCTCACTGTTAGCGAGGTAGTTGACGTCTCGCTTACCGCGTGGTGCAGGTTAGTGGCCTGCGTGGTGTCCGCACGCTGACTGCTAGTAGCCCATGTTCGTATTACTGCCAAGCAGTTCGCTGACAGCTAGCTGTTAGAGCCTGTACAGCTGGGAGCCTGTTAGTTGTCGCTGCGTGGAATGCCAACAGTTGCCTTAGTTAAAGATGGTGTCGCGGCGGCGATTTCGTCGGCCAAAGCACGTTTTAGAATACCTCGACGACGAAATCACCGGCGCCAACGCGCCTTCGACTCCTCCCACACAGGCCGCAATCACCAACACTACACAACTTGCACACTAGCTTAGCATTAGGCAGACACTGCACCCGTAGGATAAAAGTGCGAAGACCAGGTCTACACACGACACGCCATACCAGGTACAGACGTACCCGGGCGTTTTTCACCGCACCCCACGACAACGGCTATCTAGAGCCGAGGTCCGGCTCTTAGAGATGCCCTCTAGTCTCTAGTTGAGCCGACCCCCTCAGGTTCGAGTGGTCTAGAGGTTCCAGACAGAGAGGAAACTTCCCCGTAGGGAGATGCCATCCGCCTGGAACACCTCTTGAGGCACTCATCAATGACTTACACTCAAAAAAATGCGGTGTTGGAGCAGCATCGTAAGTGGGTTAACACCTAAAGCTGTTGGTCTCGGCTGCATTTGCAGTCGTTAGCACCCACCAATCGGCACTGGACCCTCGTGGTGGGCCATGGCCCAATCTCTCTATTCCATCCATAGGGAAGACTGTGCCCCAGCAGTGGGGATATGGTCATAGAGTGGTCTAGAGGTTCCAGACAGAGAGGAGACTCCCCTGTAAGGAGATGCCATCCGCCTGGAACACCTCTTGAGGCACTCATCAAGTCTCGGCTTGAGGTCCCCTTAGGATCTCACAGTCCCCAAACCTGGTGACTTACACTCAAAAAAATGCGGTGCTGGAGCAGCATCGTAAGTGGGTTAACACCTAAAGCTGTTGGTCCCGGCTGCATTTGCAGTCGTTAGCACCCACCAATCGGCACTGGACCCTCGTGGTAGGCCATGGCCCAATCTGTCTATTCCATCCATAGGGAAGACTGTGCCCCAGCAGTGGCGATATGGTCATACAGTGGTCTAGAGGTTCCAGACGGAGAGGAGACTCCCCTGTAAGGAGATGCCATCCGCCTGGAACACCTCTTGAGGCACTCATCAAGTCTCAGCTTGAGGTCCCCTTAGGATCTCGCCGTCCTTAAACCTGGTGACTTACACTCAAAAAAAATGCGGTGTTGGAGCAGCATCGTAAGTGGGTTAACACCTAAAGCTATTGGTCTCGGCTGCATTTGCAGTCGTTAGCACCCACCAATCGGCACTGGACCCTCGTGGTGGGCCATGGCCCAATCTGTCTATTCCATCCATAAGGAAGACTGTGCCCCAGCATTGGGGATATGGTCATAGAGTGGTCTAGAGGTTCCAGACGGAGAGGAGACTCCCTTGTAAGGAGATGCCATCCGCCTGGAACACCTCTTGAGGCACTCATCAAGTCTCGGCTTGAGGTCCCCTTAGGATCTCGCCGTCGTTAAACCTGGTGACTTACACTCAAAAAAAATGCGGTGTTGGAGCAGCATTGTAAGTGGGTTAACACCTAAAGCTATTGGTCTCGGCTGCATTTGCAGTCGTTAGCACCCACCAATCGGCACTGGACCCTTGTGGTGGGCAATGGCCCAATCTGTCTATTCCATCTGTTATATGTATAAGTAGTGGAACGGAACGCAGTCTTACTTCCCGCTGAAATCACTGTCATCGGCTGTCACTTTTAGCTATTATAAAATGGTCGTGTCATGGTCTTACAAATAAAACTAATTATAAAATATAAGTCTTTTTTAATAGTAAAACATGGTGTCAGAAGTGCCTACTTAAAGTTAAAATAAAAGTGTCTGTAAAATTAGTGTCAAATACGAAAAGTACGAAACGTTTTATTCGGAAAAATGAGTACCGATGCAAAACCGGCATCTGAATCAAGGCGAATAAATTTGTCAAATAATTTGGCTCCAATGCTGTTAGAAGGTAATTTAGCAGTAAATTGGAAAAAATGGCTGCAATCATTTAAAATATTTATGCGAGCAAGCGGCATAAATGACGAATCCGAGGAACGAAAAGTAGCCGTTTTTCTACATTACATTGGCGAGAAGTCGTTGGAAATATTCAATACATTCAACTTAGACGTGGATACTGTAAAATATGATGTGCTAATACAAAAATTTGAAAATTATTTTGTCCCGAAGACAAATATAACCTATGAGAGCTACAAATTTTTTACAAGAAAGCAAAATGAAGAAGAAAGTTTAGATGATTTTATGACAGACTTAATCAACAAAAGCGAGTCGTGTGATTTTGGTAGCATACGAGATAGACTTGTCAAAGATATTTACATATGCAATTTGCATCAAAAGTATCAGTTTGTCAGAGAAAAACTTTTACTCGAAGATGATCTCTCATTAGAAAAGGCAAGTTCTATATCGAAAACTCTTGTGCAATCACTGACACAGGCATCTGAATTAAAGGGCAGCACTAATGTTTATTATACTAACAAGCAAAATCATCAAAGTCATGGTCATGGCTCAAATATGTCAAAATCAAGGTCAAAGTCGCAGTCAAGAAATGGTTGTGGACGCTGTGGGCAGATTCACCGCTATAAATGTCCAGCTGCTAATGCCAAATGTCGAAAGTGTGGTAAAATTGGTCACTATGAAGCATTGTGTAAGTCAAAAAATATCCATTTTGTGCAGTTCAATGATGAATCACAGTATGAAGGTAATGATGAACATTTATTTATTGGACATTTAAAATCAAGTAATTCAACTAGTACAGATTGGAATATTAATTTAATAATTAATAATGCTCATGTCAAATGTATCTTAGATACTGGTAGTGATGCTAATGTCATGTCATATAAGTTATACAAGTCATTAAATGTATCTAACAAAATGTCACCTTACCTAGCTAAAATAACGTCTTACAGTGGTAATAATGTAAAAATATTAGGTCAACAAAACTTAAAATGTACTTATTATGTTCATAATAAGCCAATGTCTAAAATGATAAATTTTATAATTGCTGATGTCTCGTCACCAACAGTTGTTGGAAAATACACATGTACAGAATTAGGTCTTGTAAAAAGAGTCTTTAATATTCAAAAAATGTCAGAGTCAAATGATAACAGTCAAATGTCTATGTCAGTCAATAATATTAGCTTAAGTTCTTTATTGAGTAACAATGAATCTGTTTTTGTTG